TTTCCATTTCCGGAATCGTTCCCATTCCAATTCCTGGTCCTCGACATATACTAAGGCATATGGAGGACAGGGAGGTGATTTGAGACAGCCAGTACAGCTTCACCAAGGGCAAGTCCTGCCTGACCAACCCAGTGGGCTTCTATGATGGAGTGACTACATCAGTGGACAAGGGATGGGCTATAGATATCATCTATTCAGACTTCTGTAAGGCCTTTGACATGGTCCCCCACAACATCCTTCTCTCTAAATTGGAGAGATATGGATTTGAGGGTAGACTGTTTTGTGGATGAAGAACTCAGATTGGCCCCCCTTCCGGGTAACTCTCCCCAGTTTATATACTGAGCATGACATTCTATGGTGTGGAATAGCCCTTTGGCCAGTTAGTCACTTGTCCCAGCTATGCTCCCTCCCAGACTCTTTTCTTTTGTGTTCCTCCTCACATGAGACATAAACCAAAAAAGTCTTTCACTTAGGATAAAAACAACTTAACAAAACCCAAAACATTACTCTGTAATCAACATTATTCTCATTCTGAATCCAAAATACAGCACTGTATTAGCTACTGAGAAGAAATTGCCTCCATCCCAACTAAAACCAGGACAGACCTCCAACATAAGAAGGACCTATTGGAGCAAGTCCAGAGGAGGGCTGCAAAGATGATCAGAGGGCTGGAGCACCTCTCCTATGAGGAAAGACTCAGAGGGTTGGGGTTGTCCAGCCTAGAGAAGAGAAGGTTCCAGGGGGACCTTATACCAGCCTTCCAGTACCTGAAGGGGGCCTACAAAATCTGGAGAGGGACCTTTTACAAGGGCATGTAGTGGTAGAAAAAGGGGTAATGGCTTTAAACTGAAAGGGGGTATATTTGGAATAGATATTAGGAAGAAATTCTTTACTGTGAGGGTGGTAAAGCACTGGAACAGGTTGCCCAGGGAAGCTGTGTATGCCCCATCCCTGGACATGTTCAAAGCCAGGTTGCATGGGACTCTGAGCAACCTGGTGTCCCTGCCCATGGCAGGGGGGTTGGAACTAGATGATCTTTAAGGTCCTTTCCAACACAAACCCTTCCATGATTCTGTGGTTCTATGTTACTTCTGGTTGATTTCTCAAAAAAACTCTCAGAATATAGTGGTATGTGGCCTAACAATTAGCTGAAACATTCTTGACCAGCTCTATTAAAGTTCACTTGTCAAAAAGCCCCTGTCTATAGGCTTATTTCCCTGTAGGTAACAAAGCTTCTTAAAGGGAATCCTTGATTGATGTGATTTAGAGCCACTCATCATTGTGATTATCCCCTGTTCCAAGGTCCTAGTTGAGATACAGTAGCTAAATTCAGCATCTAAGTAATCATAAACAGCAAGATTGGAAGGGACTGAATGAGTTCCTCTTAGACCATCTTTTAAGATAAACTACCTGTTGTTATTTCTGAAAGGCATTTGTCTAACCTGTTACTAAAGACATCCTTTTCTTGTCCCCTCTTTCTTCTTTCCCTTATCTGCTCCAACCAAGAATTCCATTTTACTAGCTACTAGGGAAAGTCTCATTTGTAGCTGAAATGCCTGATTTATGCCGAAATTATCAATACAGTTTATTTCTTAAAAAAATTTTACATTACTAGTTTAATGCAGTATGCTTCAGAATTTAAATAGATGCTTACTAATAGCCAATAATTTCTTGAATTTCTGTTTTTACTTTTCCATATAGATATGTCTCAAGTTTAAGATATATTTATATTTCTATATTTTGCATTATACACACACACATGCCTGTGCACGCACACAAATATGCATGTTCTTTCAATTCAAAGTTTCCTGTTATTTAGAAGGAAAATGAGGCATAACTGTGGGTTGGTTTAAGATAAAAATAGCTGTTATGGTGTGTATTACATTAGAAGCATTCATAGAAGAATCAAGATGGACAATGAAACACTGTGTTGGGATGTTCTTCATCTCTGCCACTAACTAGACTGTACACTGCATTTTGATTTTGATGTGTTAGAGCACTGCATTGAATTTTATTGGTGAAGTCAATAAAAGTTATTTTCTTATTGGTAAAAAAGATACCAATTAACTATATTATTTTGCTTAGAGTTTGCCAATATAGAGCCTAAGACTGAGAAACAGAGTTCAATGTACTTTATTATATTTTTATTTTCCAGAGGTCCAGAAGATGCAATAAATGACTGCAGAATCATTTTTATAGAGGAAGTGTACAAGATTGAAAAGCCAGGAGCTTATCCACTGACATTTGGAGATGGAGATTTCAAAAGTATGAGTTTTTTTTATTGTGTGATTGAGACTGTTACTTAAATATTTGAATGGCATTTAAAAATTAAGGAATCAGAGCACAGAATCAATTTAATTAAGGCTTCTTTTTTGTGTAATAAAAGAATTGCTATTAGATAGATTTTTAGGTTGAAAAGTTTTTACAGGAATGTAATTTTATTACATGGCATATTGAGAATATGCTATGAATATAGCAGGTAAATGGTTGATATTTTAGATGATCTGTATGGTGTGAGTTCATATTCTAAGTGCCTAAGCAGGCATCCAAATTACAAAACTTACTATTTCATAATTAACATCTCATTTGAGTTCTTAACAGATGCAAAAGATTGCTGTCTTTAACCATGGCATTACCTCAGAATGAAAAATCATTAACTGTGTAGAGTAAGAAAGTGTCAAGCTTACTAGAACTATGAAATAAATATATTCAATTTTAGAATATTATTATGTCCTTCTGAACACTAAATAAACCATGCCTCCTCCCTGCCCCCCACCAAAGGGCAGTTCTCTAAAAAGCAGTTTAACATTTTATCCTAAGTTTAAAAATATGTGAAAATTAAAGAACAGGAGTTATAAGACAGTGTTTATAATGGGAACACTAAAAGGTTGATATGTGGCATTTTTGATAAATATTACTGAATTTTAAAAGAAGAAAATTTATTGCAGCTTAGTTTTCATTTATAATCTATAGTATTTGTGTCACTGTATGTGTGAATCATTAATACACATTATTTGCAGTGTACTATTAAAGCAATTATGTCATATTAAAAATAAGTGTTTTTTTAAAAAGGAAATTCCATTTGCAAATGCATTCATAAAAGTAGAAATGCAATTTTCAATAAATGAAGACATTTTAAACCATTTTTTTCATTGTTTACTATTTATTTTTCGCATATTAATCAATGGAAACTAACCATTCATTCCATTTATGTTCTCATTTCATTTGTCATGCTTAATTTAATTATATACATCAGTACAGTGCAGTGTAATTGTTTGGAGTTCTGTTTTATGTAAATGATTATCACTAACTTTAGGTCATGGATTAGGCTTCAGGTCTTATTTATTTTATATTCTATATTTTCCTGCACTGGGTCCCTGTTTTATTGTCCAAGAATTGAGTTTTCAGTTCCTACTAATTTTTGGTTACTACTGTCATGTCTTATTTCCTTTCATTGTCTCCTTATTTGTAACCTGTTCTCAAACCCCTCACATAATTGCTGTCTTTGTATAAATCTGAGCCTATATGGTGATCCCCTTTTAATTTCTTTCAAGTTTATTTTTTACAAACCCTCATAATTAAGTCTAACACAGTAACATCAGCTTACATTTTAACCCTAAAGATTTATTTGTTAATTTACTGCTGACCGTGTAACTTTATTCCTTTGTCTTCATCTGTTTTTTTCCCCCAAAGTCCAACTTCCTCACCACATTGTTTACTTCATTTTCTCCTGCTGTTATTCTGATCTTCTTTTTGTAGGTTGTCTGGAATTTGTTCTGTGAAGCACAATGCACTATAGATTTCTTATTGCTTATGGTTCAATTGATTTCTTTATTGCTCCTCTGTATTTGCTTCCCTAGTCCTACTCCATATTTAAAAATTAGTCAAATACATACAGTTCACTTAGTATATTTGTATGCTAAGAAAAACATAAGAATGGTATTTTAATAATGGTAGCTAAAATTCAAAGAGAATTAATTGGTCTGAAATGCTCCATTAGTTTGATATGGAGCAGGGTCAGAGAATGTGCTGAGATTAAGAGCTCTAGAACATATTTTGAATGTTGTTATACAAAACAGAACTGGTCATCAACATGTTACTTGAACTTCAATAAGAATTTAAATCTAGACTACAAATCTTAGATAAGTTTTTCCTACAAAAGAAAGGAAAATGAAAGAACCTATGCAACTAAATTTTACAGTGGTGTTAGGGGTGAACAGGCTCATCTATCTAAACAGTGCAAATAAAATCAATGCAATTTGAGTTATCAAATCAGTTTAAAATAGAATTGGGGAAAGGATGTTTTCTGGCCCAGTCCTTCCACTTCCTCTCACTGAGTTTGCTTTGAGATTCCTCTGTTAGAGGGCATGAGGAAACTCTTGCAAATTGATTGTTATCAGAAATAAAAATGGCTAAAATAGTTCATTTTTCTCATCTATCAGACTTTTTATTGTATCCTTTAAACTTTGACCTAAAGTGGTAGTACTAACAGGAGTCAAATTTTATCTGGTAGGTCTCAAGATATATCACTTCTTCTTTTAAAAGTAAGAAAAGGTTATTCTTAATTTATATCATTTCTGACAGTCTAGAGCTACTTGGGAGCATCAGAAAACAGTTCTGTTTTTCTAAGTGAATAATATAATTAAATATTGCAATAGTTCCAGAGAACCAGAAGATCAAGTTGCAAACTTCATAAGATGGTTGAAGAAAATGAGATATGGGGAAAAGAGAAGCTAATTTATACTTTGACTCATACTACTCATTTATCCATTATTATCAAAGGTATCTTGGTTCTCTAGCTCAGTGTACATCAAAGTGGGGTGCATGCAACCCAGGGGTTGTAGAAGATAATCTATTGGGGAGTAGGAAGAAAATAATTTTTGTCCTGTTAAAAAAAAATTAAAATTAAACTTTAAACTTTAAATAGTGTTTATTTCATCCCTATATGGTCCTTTTTGTGTATGTTTTATAATGTACATAATATATTAGTGAGGACCCCCGGTGGTCTAGTGGTTAGGATGCGGCACTCTCACCACCGCAGCCCGGGTTCGATTCCCGGTCAGGGAACTCCTCCGGGCAGATGGAGCTCGTCAGCCCTGTAAGGCCATCCATCTAAGAGAAGGTCACTCTAAACAAACCTATGTCCTGAGGACTTCACTGCCACTGTCCAAGCTCGCTCGACCCCGGCAGATGAACCTTAGGATTAAAGGGTGGGTTCAGCTCAGCGCACAGTGTCTCACCTAAAAAATCCACTGTGCAGGTTGGAAGGGTAATGACCTTTCCCAAATCTTCGTTCACGAAGATTGGCCATGAATATATTAGTAGAGTAGTGCATGTATATAATTTATAAATAAACATACATATATTGAGGTTGCATGCTCAAAAGTTTTTAACTGATGAGGTGCGCAAATGAAAAAATTTGGAGATCACTGTTCTAGTTTCCTGCTTCCAACCCAAACTCTCAAACAATCATTTCAATTCCTCCTTGTCCTCTGATTCAAGGTCCATTTACTCACTGAAGTAAGAAAAATGTCCCTTTAGCTGTCTGGAAGTGCTCTGATTATCACATTATTTAGCCATTGTTATTATCATATTCTGTATCACATCCTCATAGTTTAGTTTGTCAGATTTGCTTCCATAGTCTTTCTTGATGGTTTTCACACAGAAATATTCACTCCAAAATTGTTTTCCTTTAATGCTATAGTTCTTTGAGGCGTTGTCAAGTGCTCTTAAGTCTTGTCTAAACTTGTGTCAGGCACTTTCTGTAATAGTTCTGCTACATGTAGTCGATTTACCTACTCTCTGCTTCGCATGTAATATAAGACTATTAAATGTTCTCCTTTTTCTAGAAAGGCATTTCTTACCTTAGCTGAGGAACCAGTGCTGATGCTGTTACTATATAAAGGATACATTGGTCCAAATTCCCAAATGAGCAGAAATGGGTATTAATTCAATTTCTGTAAAAAGAAACTGTATGAAAATTGGTGATCTGGGATCATCTGTCATCCTTGATTAATAATTCATATATTCATCTGGATATTAATTTTTTAGAGGGATGGAGTTTTTCTGAGTTTGCTCTTCATAAACCTTAAGCTATCCATTTAGAATTTTTTAATATCTACATTTAATGTGCCAAGATCTGATCTGTAGGAAGAGTGTACAGGTGGAGTAGTGGTAGTGAGGAATCAGAGAAACTGCTGATTGGTCACTTTCACTGTTGCTTGTACATGCAGCAGAAGAAATTCCATTAGTCTAGAGAGTCAAAATGCCTCATTATAAAAGCACCATTTACAAATAGGGACAGTGCTCATATGTGTAAAGAACTGAGTCCTATTGATGTAGTGATGCATAAAGAAAATAACTGGTCATTTTACAACACTAATGTAGGCTGATCCAAGTGCTTAAGTTTCAGTAAACCTACATAATTAAATATATTCCTTCGTTTGGCTGCTTAAGAGGAAAAATGGTTTATTACTAAGAACAAAGATTAAATTTGTCTATTTTTTCAGATTTAAATAAAAATTATTGTGAATTGATGAAATTAGAATAAAACAGTATTATTCTTTATTTATCAACCCTGTTCATTGTTTTTAAATTGCAACAGTATAAAAGACTGTAATTTCACAGTTCTAAGTCCTTCTACAGACAGTCTTGCCAAGACATCTTGCAGAACAATATCTTCTCATGACCTAGTCCATCAAAATGAGTCCATTCACATTAATAAGTGCTAAGTCTTCATAAAATTAGTCAGTTATTATAATAGTTCAGTGCCATTGCATTATGTTGCCATTGTTTGAGTACGTATTTTCTTTCTTTTTTACATCCCCAGCATCCCAATCCCCTGATGATCTGGGTAGCAGAGCAACAGGTTAGGTTGCAATCTAACCTGGAAAATGGCAATGACTCTCATAAATGTTAGGATGAAGAACACAAGTTGATATTGACAGTAGTTGCTTAGTCATAAGTGTTATATAGGTCTAAACTGTTCCTGTTGGTTTGATCTTTTCAAACCCAGACTTCATTGTAATAGCAAAGTTACTACATCCATGGCATATAGGTACACATCTATATTTTATTCTGCCATTATGTTGTATTTATGAATCTGAAATAGTTTTTCTGACGTGTGGTTTTTTATATTTTTTTACAGGAAAGAGTGGTCCTGAATGTAAGCACTGCAGGGCTGACCCAGATAAGGAATGTCGCTTTTGCTCCTGTTACTTGTGTGGTGGAAAACAGGATGCTCACATGCAACTCCTTTGTGATGAATGTAATATGGTTTATCATATATACTGCCTGAACCCTCCCTTAAGCACAATACCAGAAGATGAGGATTGGTAAATATACAAGGATGATTTACTTATGTATATTCCCATTCTACACAAGGTATCTCTTTGTTATTTGCAACTAGAGAAATTACTGAAGAGTTTTTATACATCTGGTATGTTTTTTATCCTTTCATGGTATGTAAACATATTTGCATTTTATATTAAGATTCTATTTATAAATATAATTCATTAACTACTGGTATTGAGCATTATTGATCATTACAAAATTTCAGAAATTATCTTGTTCAGTGAGATTATTTCAGAACAAGATAATTTCAGAAATTATCTTGTTCAACCTCTGTGAGATTGACTGATGTTATTAGACTTAATTATTACCATCTACAGTGGTGCTTCCCCAACATTTTATTTGTTTTATTTGGGCTTCATTGTTGCTTTTCTTTTTCCTCAGTCTCAGCCCTTGTTACTGCCTCCTTGCCCTTCCCTTATTCTATACCTGCCTCATTAATTTTTTCTGCTGTAAGAAAACTACTACCTTACTTCTCCTTATTTCCAGTAACTAGCACCACCAGCAAGAAACCCAAACTAGTAGGCCTTGGTGGACTCAAACTCCATTCTGAGCTAACTCTGCATGGAGCCAGCATCAGCCCATTGAAGCTTATCTTGAGCTCCATGCTACATCTCATCTCTATCAGTTATGTGCAACTCATACCATTTGTACTTATAATCTGCTTCTAAAGTATATTAAATGCTAATCTTTTATAATTGACTTATAAATATAGCGTAATTCTAAAGTTTTCCATTATGAATACATCAATAGATGTCTAAGGACATGTTATAAGAAAATCTTTGAACTGCATTTTGTGATAGATTTTAGTGGAACTGAACACTTCAAATAAAATATTTTAAGTAATTTAGAAGTTTAACATTCTATAGAAGTAAATAACTTATTGTACTGTATTATATCAGCTACCTCATACTGAGTAAGTTCGTTTATAGTTCAGTGTCTAATACTCTACCTTTTTTCCTGGGCTAATATATTTCAGTTTCCCCAGACTCCAGTTATATTTATACATATGTGCAACTTTCAGTTATGACATTTGGTGAAAGATTTTATTGTGTATATGTGCACACTGAGATACTTCTGCTGATTTAAAAGGAAATAGACATTTCTTTTTGAATATCCTGAACTGAAAAGAAAATATTGCAAATAGGTATGATTTGGTGGAACTAAATATGACAATTATTGTCTGTGTGCTTCCCATTTCTTATATATGCAAAGGTATATATAATCTTTATTCAACAGTCTTTGTTGGATAGCATGTGAATCCAAACTATCCCCATGTTTTCTACTTTTATGCACAGAGGACTAATCTGTTCCAACATCCATTCACTTCCTACTAATTGCTTTTGGAAGTGAGCTGCAGATCTTAGTGCTTCCAAATCATGTGTTGGAAAGCATTCTATGCTATAGCACTTCAGAGTTGGTCACCACCCTTAAACAGTTTTCTTTTGTGACTGTACTTGACTTTTGGGTATAATAACTGAGAAGTTTTTTGACTACAGTCATCCAGAATATTAAAGGAAATACTATTTAGAATCTGTCCTCTGACAGTGCATCCATTCTCCTTCAGGTCCCCTTACTCCTAAAAGACTCCAGTAGCAAAAAATAATTTTATGTTCCAATATTAATAACAACAAAGTTACAAAAAAGAAAATACACATGCTAGGAGTTTATTTTTTTAAAAAAAAACAGCCCTCAAAACATGTTTGAACAGGAAAGAACATAGACTGAATGTAAATGTCTAGGTGGAGTTTGCCAAGTAAAAATTATGGAAAAATTATTCTTTACATTTAAATTGAACAGGTATGAGTTGGAAATGATTGTTTTAGTATGTATTTTTCAATTTTTTAGAAATTTGGAATACATTTACATTATTTCTTGGGTTTGGTGTAATAAGTTGCTTTAAGAGTACCAAGACCCCAAGTGTTAAACTAAATTGTGAATTGTGACTATGTTCTGCAATAAGGATCTAAGGAATTCTAGATTGCAAATAAAAAACTGATTTGAGGTAGTTCCTATCTTTATAGAGTGTTTAGAGGGTTTAGAGTGTGCATACAGGCAATTCTTGTGAAATATCTGTACACAGTGACTTGTTGCCCTATGGTAACTAGTTCTTTTGTTCATACTCAAAGGCATATAGTAAAAGGCATTAGTAGTACTAGTAATCTAAATATATTGTTGTTATTATTGTAGATCAGACTTCTTCCGTTAGTGACTTTGGAACCAAACTCAGCCCCTGGAAACCAGAAGCAATGGCAGTTGCCTTTGCCTTGGCACTTCTGGAATGGGAAAAAAGTGCTGGTAGAAGCAATAAAAGGATCTATGTGCTCCTTTCCTTCCTTTGCCTTAGCCACTGTTTCCTACAGTCTGCTATCCTTTTCCTACCGTAATGGTTTTATGGTGGCTGGAATGAGTCCCAATGCCATCTGAGGCAAAGAAATATATAGAAATGGAGTTTAATACTCTTCCCATTAGCTGAGTACTGAGTCAGGTTCCTGATGCCTTAGGCATGGTGGGGTAGGATAAGGATTCATCTGTACATGTATACATGTTTTGTGGTATCCTAGGGCTGTTCCACATTCAACTGTCTGAAGTGAGATTAAGTGCAGGAAAAGCAGATGATGAGTGGGCAGGATGTGGAAGTTAAGCATGAGCAGTATACTCTAATTTCATTTCTCCTCTCCCCTATGTGATCTGAACAAGCAAGGAGAGGAAAAGAAAATGGGGAGGGAATACAGGAAACATGGGGACCTCTTGTACATCACATGAGAAGAGTGAAACATTTCACCTCTACCACCCTACTTTAAAACAAAAATTCTTGTTTTAGATGTGGACAGTATTTGTTCTTGTTGAGTTTATTTTTTCAGCCCGTGTCCTCAGCTTTTAAAACTGTTGTATATTTACTAGCTTCAAAATATTGTCAGGATGAATAAATTTGACACTACTTTGCTTAGAAGAAATGTATTGCTATAATTACTAAGTAATAAAGAATTTACTGAAACTTTTATTTTAGGTATTGTCCTTCATGCAAAAATGATTCTAATGAAGTTGTAAAGGCTGGAGAAAAACTCAAACAGAGTAAAAAGAAAGCAAAGATGCCATCTGCCAGTACTGAAAGCCAGAGAGACTGGGGCAAGGTAGAGTGTGTTTCAATTTAAAAATAGCTCACCATTCATGTATGTTTTGCATGTCTAACTATGTGCATGCATTATACAAAATTTAGCACAGGATTGAACAGACTGTAAAGCAATGTTGAATCCTGTACATTGTCTACTGAAAGTTAAAACATCTGAAGAATTATTGACTAGAGGTAAAGACATGAAAAATAATTAATTAAAACATCCGTTGACAATCTTTATATTAATATATTTTGAAGTGTTTACTATAATGGTTGGATGTCTTGATATCTGCATCAAATTTTATAAATTATTTTAAATATTAGAAAATTCATTCTCTTGACTGTGTTTTTTAGGGCATGGCTTGTGTTGGTCGCACTAAGGAATGCACTATTGTCCCTTCTAATCACTATGGACCTATACCTGGTGTCCCTGTTGGGACAACCTGGAAATTTAGAGTTCAGGTATGTTTTTTAATTTGTAATTGAAATAAATCAAAATAATAGGTACAGTTTGGGTGCAAAAATATTTTTATATTAGTAATCGTCATGTCCACTAAGAATAAATATGGAGAATGTTTTTTAAATTCTAATATTCAAAATACTGCCAAGTATAGTGGAATTTGAAGTGTACTGATTTGAAAATACAACTTAATTACAATTGTAAAAATAGTACTTACTATTTTTAAAGGGGAACCCTCTATAATTAGGATGGACTTATATCTTGTGTGTTAAACTCTCAACTGAAATAGAGGAAGCTGAATATTTTCAGAAGTCTAATGCTATGAAACATAAACCAGTCTATTCCACTTATGGATATAGATTATAGCATTCAGAAAATATTTTCTGTGTCCAGCGGTGTCTCTAATGCTTATTAGCTGGTCGGGATCCCCACCAAAGGCTATTGTGCAGGTGCAATATAGTTCCTGTTTCAGTGCATGCTTCTCTTCCAATATGTTGTGATACCAGGTTTGGTGCTAGTGTGCATGTTATCCATACTTAATACAGGAAAGAAATAAGATTTTACTGAGGGTTCTAAAGTTCTGGTGGGGGTGGAACCCACTGTCCCCAAGGTAAGAGCCACCTCTGATTGTATCACTATAAATTGATTACCTGTTCCTTTTGGATCATACACAACTGGCATCAGCACCTTCCTTTAGGTTGATGAATGTTTTAAACTAATACAAGTCAGTATTGACTACTGAAAGAAGTAGTCCACCCAGCTACGTCCACTTCTTGCACTGTCCCTTCTGTTTTGTCTCAAATGTTTCTCAGGCCATATGAAAAACCATATTGGAAAGTAATCTATCAGAAAAACAATCCTTTGTGGAGAAGGGTAATTTTCCCAATCCATTTCACTTTGTGGTTATACAAATACTGTGTCAGCACAAAGGGCACAGCAATGATCAGTGTGGAGAAGAACAACATATTTCAGGAGTATTCCCACCATAGCCAGAATAGTCAGAGACTTTTTCTTCCCCTTAGGGAAAAGGGGCATGACAGTAACCAAAAACCTCCTCTAATGTATTTTCTGAAGTCTTCATCTCACCCCTTGCCTCCAGAGAGTACTTATAAAAACCACTTTTTTTCTTATGGAAAATGAGTGTCTGAATAATTTCGGGGTTGGTATGACATGCAAGTATTCAGGCTAAAATGGTCAACAGCAAAGGTTTTACCCCTTATCAATAGTTTTTATTTTCTCCTTTAACAGAATTCACAGTGTAACAGCTGAATACTAAACAAGTTCCTTGGATCTTGTCTTACTTTGGTGCTAATGTGAGCACTACCATCAATACAGATATTAGAGAATATCAAAGTAAATTAACTTCTTAAAGTAAAATTGCAGTGTTAGTGTCAATTATTCATTGATTTTACACACAGTTACTAGTTTGAGAAAATTAATATCTAATCTTATCTATTATTTATCTCAAGACCTCTGAAGCAAATTTTATTGTTACTGGATCAGCCAGTATCAGCAGGAATAAAAATTAGGATTTCATGTCTTTAGGGATTACATTGGTGAAGTAGATCAAATAGATCCCAGAACTTTAAAGTGCTGATTGCAAACGGGACTGTAAGTAGAGGTTTGTTTTTCTCAGAAAACTAAGCAGATAAGACTTATAATGTAGGATGTAAATATTAGAAGAATATCATTTGTACAAAATTATTTAATAATGGCTATGTTTTAACTGCATACTTTTTAAAAGATCAATATTTTTCCATGTAAAAAGTTATACTTTTATTTCTGATTTGACTGTTCTTTTGTATGAAAATAAATTCTTAGTAGATTTATGGGAACTTAGAAGGAAAATGCTGTAAATGCTGTATCATGATTTTCTTCCTTCTTTCATGCAACAAGCTTCTTAAGAATATGTAAATGTGATGTATTATATATTATGTTTGGTCATGTAGTTAGAAAGCTTACAAATCTCCTTTTCCTAGGAGGAAATTGACTTAGAACTGTTTCTGGATACAGCATCCAGAGGACAGAAATATAAATTTTAAGTCAAATTCCACATGCCTCATGGAAATGAAAGAAGGAATGAATGAAATTACCTTTAATAGAATTGGAGACAAAAGAACCTGTGCTGTTCAACATGTTCATAAATGGTCTGGAAAAGTTGCAAAATAGCTGACAGTTAAGTTACAATGCTAAGTTGTCATGGATAGTAAAGATGAGGGGAAAAAACTCAACTTCTCATAACTGATAAAGGGCTTTCAGCTAATTATTATCATTTAGGAAAGTGAACTTGTAATAGATACATAAACATAGAAACATAAATCAAGTGGTAGGAATTATTAAGAAAAGAAGAAAAACAATATAATCATGAAGAACAAGGATAGTATAAGATGGAATGGCTTTCATACAAAATGTATGAAAGATGGTATGCTACAGAGGTCTATCAAAATTGAAGAAGGTGAATAGGGAACAACTGTATGTACTTTTTGATGCAAAATGAGGGGGCATCAAATGAAATGATCAGGTGCTGGATCAAGAATGAATATTCAATACTGTGAATTCTTTCCTGTAGGATATTGTGAAAGTTAAGAAGTGTGCAAGAGCTCAGAACTCAAGTAGATAAATTAATAACCATTGGTTGACTTTTCTTCCATGAAATGCAAAGATTATGCCTTTGGCTCAGGAAATCTAAGCCACACATAGTTGGAAACTGAGAAATTGTACATGTAAATATCATTGTGCACTTGATAGTTTTTACACTGATCAGCTATCTGCTTTTATTTGTTGTCAGAGACAGGATATTTGGCTAGCTGGAACTCTGGTTTGATGCAGTTTGATGACTCATATATTCCTATGGCAATATAAAATCATAAAATTGCATAAATTGTGTGTGGAAGTACAGGGATTGGGCAGAACTGGAAAAAGAGGAAATGTTCACAGATGAAGGCAGGCTGTTAATGTGATTGCATTTTCCTGAGTTGGTTAACTTTTAACCATACTTGACATAATTTTCACCAAAAAAATTTACTCAGTATGATCTTTCTTGCATAATTATTTATACAAATTTAAAATACTACTGAATTAGAAAGATAATATGTATCTTAGACTTGGTCTAAGCAATCTTAAATGTTCCTTATAGCAAGAATAATGAAGATTTTTACTAAGGGACAAAGTCTACTATTTATCTTTGTGTCAACACTGTTCTATGTTGTCCTTTCTTTTCATTGGATGTCCTTTCTTTTTTTTTTTTCTTAAAAAAACTCTAAAAATCATATTTCCTTTAATGACAATCCTGTTACACAAGCATACTTACAGAAATAATTTTTAAGCAGAAAAATTATTGCAGAAGGACAGTTGTTTCAAAAAGTTATTTTAAAATTTGTTCTTTTTTAATACTTGAGGTGAGTGAAGCAGGTGTTCACAGACCTCATGTTGGTGGAATTCATGGACGCAGTAACGATGGAGCTTATTCACTTGTACTAGCTGGAGGATTTGAAGATGAAGTGGTATGTCATTTAGTCAAATCACTAATATGCTATTTTAAAATTTATAATGATAAAAAGGGGTGCCTGTTGCTGATCCTAAAATTAATACTTATGAAGATATGAGTCTGCAAAAATTGCTGCTACTCAATATCTAATTTGCTGTGTGTTACTTTTTTAGAATAATTTTTTAAATAATATTCTTAGTCTCATATTAATTACATCTGATTTTAAGAATGTTTATGGAAATCAAGTTTCAATGGTCTTATATAGTCTGAATTTATTACCATTTAAAATCTTATATTTTACAAGTCACAAAATAACAGAATCATTGAGATCATAAGGGACCTTTTGAGAGGGTCTAGTCCAACATCCCTGGTCAAGCAGAGTCACCCAGAGGAAAACCGTGCCCAGTCAGCTTTTGAATATATCTATGTATAGAAGCTTCACAGTCTCTCTGGGCAGCCTGTTCCAGTTTTCAAGCACCCTCACAGCAAAAAAGTGTTTCCTTATGTTCAGACAGAACCACCTGTGTTTCACTTTTTGCCCATTGCCTCGTCCTGTCACTGGGCACCACTGAAAAGAGCCTGGTTCTGTCTTCTTTGCACCCTCTCTTCAGATATTTGTACACATTGATGAGATCCCCTGAAACAGTCACAGCTCTCTCAGCCTTTCCTCATATGTGAGATGCTCCAATTCCTTAATCATCTTAATCATCTTAGTGTCCCTTTGTTGGACTCCAGGGTTCCAGGTGTGGTCTCACCAGTGCTGAGAGGAAGGATCACCTCTCTCCATTCGCTAGCAACACTATGCAGCCCACAATATTATTAGCCTTTCTTGCCACAAGGGTAGGTTGCTAGCTCGTGTTCAACTTGGTGTCCACCAGGAATCCAAGGGCCTTTCCTGTCAAGTTGCTTTCAGGGTGGTGGGCCCCAAGCGTGTACTGGTGCCTGGGGTTATTTTGCTCCAGGTACAAGACTTATTTCCTTTTGTTGAACTGCATGAGGTTCCTCTCAGCCCATTTCTCAAGTCTGTTGAGATCCCTCTGAATGGCAGCACAACCCTCTGATATATCAAGTGATGTACAAGTGATATGCTTCAAGTTCTGTCCTGGTTATTGTTTTTACTGTTGTCAAGTTAGATAGATGTTTCCTCTTTTGGAGTAATTATATACCTCTAAAGTTAAATACATTGATTTTAATTTTAGAGAGGTCAGGACAAAAGAATGCCTGTGACTTGGACATACAAGACAGGCATAATGGAGCAAGTCCAGTGGAGGGTCACCAAGTTGATCAGGGGTTTGAAACACATGACATACATGGAGAGAAGTGGGTTTGTTCAGCTGTGAGAAGGTTCGAGGACATCTTATTGCTGTCTTCAGCTACATATTGGGAGCACATAGAGAAAACAGCCAGACTTTTAGAGGTGCACAATGGAAGGATGAGGCAAAATGGAGACAAATTGGAATATGGGATTTTCCAGTTAGGTATAAGAAAAAAATTTGTCATACAAGCAATCAAAAACTGGAACAGGGGCCCAAAGAAGTTATAGGATCTCCATCCCTGGAGATATTCAAACCTTGACTGGACAAAGCACTGGGCAACCTGCTCTAATTGGATCTGTTTTGAGTGATGATTGGACTTAGAGACCTTGAGAGGTCCCTTCCAACCTAAATAATTTGATAAACTCTATGAAATTAAAACGTTTTTGAGAACATTTTACTGTATATACTTTTTGTACTCACTGCCAACATGCTACCTCTTTAATGTTCTCTTTTTGTCTCTGAATGAACAGTTTACCATTGGGGTAAGACTAGTTTCAAAAATATACTTCAGGAAAGAGCATTCACGGTTTAACTTTCAGGTTTTGTCTTTTTTCTGATTCACACTTGGAAGCTCATGGTCCTGCAAACATAGACTTGTGAGGGACATCGCTCACCCGAGGGTTTGAGCACTTGGTAATAACAAGTTGCCTCAATACAAGATTGGGCCTCGAAATTGAAAAGGAATAAGGTTGTACTTTGAAAAATTAATATTAGGCCAAATAAAATTTAGCTTCATATGTGAAATATTCTTACATACATCAAAAATTTTGTATGTGAATATCTCTTTTGTGAATGTTTAACCTAGGATTTTAGTGACAAGTACTTGAATTACTTCCATTGCCTGATTTAAAATTCATTAACTATAGCGCTTAGATCTAGTGTTGGTTTTGTTAAAACTGCAAATCTTCTGATGGTCCTGTTGTTGATACTTAGTAACTACAATGGGCATATTATCTGAGAAATAGCAAGAATTTTTTTGTGAATTTCATAGTAAGATTTTTTCAGGATATATTAACATTTGTAACGCAGATATTAGTGACTTTGAGCTATTGTGAAAGATATGATCACAGACTGTGTGGTTAAATGATTTTGAAGTATTTGTTCATCAAATGCAGTGGTTGAAGATTTTTTACTTTTGTCTTGAGTAGCAAAATTGATATCCTAGTTGTCATAGTTTCTGAGTTGGACTCAAAAACTGTTTACTTTCTTTGTGTATAAATTTTGAGATCCATAATTCTGCTGGATTGACGTAATGTTATTAAGATGTTAATTGTCATTCAGTGTTGTTCAGATTGGCAAAGTCTATTTCTTCACTAAGTGGCTTTTGCATATAGAATTATATAGTGCCTCGACATTGAGGTTTAGAGTGTCTTGGATAGTAGTATCTGCTGTGATCACTCAGTCTTTCAGAAGATCCTGAGCGTATATAAATATATACATATATATATTATAGGGCAATTATAGTGGCTCAAATGTGACTCCAAGCTAATATATGTGTTTCTTAGATTTTTTTTTTAAAATCCATGTCAATCAAATCTAGTGCCTAGAATGTGGCATTAATAAACTGCTTTATGAAACAGTCCACTGTTCATTTTGGATAGTCTGTGTATCCACATCAATCTTGTGTTTGGGTAATCAGTTCCAATGTGTCAGTATGGTTGTGTTCTACTTGCTTGAAATTGTACAGTTACAGCATTAATAATACTTAGATTTCTAGATTTGTCTGGAGCTTATGATGAAGATCTAGAATCTCTGAACCATTGCTTAATGTTTGTTCCTTAATGAAAATGCTAGATCAGTTTTACCAGTGCCCAAGATGCATTGCCAAGACTGATTAATTGCTCATTTAAGTGATTTTAGATATAAATGAAGTGGCAATAAGAGCTTCAGATTTGAGTCAACACTTTATATATCCAAAAGTCTGGGTAAACTGCTAGTCAAAATGGAATGTATGATCTGTATCTATGCTAGCTAGATATCTACATCATCTGGATCCAATGTGAGAACTGGTACTGATGTGTTAGGTACAAAGGAAGTGCTGTACTGCATATAAATGTCTTGAAATATGCCCTGTTGACTCTGTTGCTAAAGGTACAGGTCCTTTGAGATGTTCTAATTTCTGTTTATATTGCTGAGGATCCAATATTAGAAACTCATTACAGTCATTCTACTGAGAATCTGTCTAGTCTGAGTCATCTAAACTGATTATGTAGCTGAAAATTTGACACTTGCTATTCATTTTATAGATGCTGTCATGGTTCCAACATCTCTTAATTGCCATGCTGAGTTGGCACCTATTAGTTTGGAATTAGCATTCCAATTTGAGACACTTTAAGTGATCTCTCTATTATGGGAAGAGCTGGCAAGCATCTTCCCATTCATTCAGATTAATTATGTGTTTCCTCTTCCCACCTATGATATTAACATTATTTTGTTATGTGGCATTTTTAAAATTCATACTTTCGTGTTACTGGTATTTCAGATTCTTAGGCAGTCTATTATTTTCTGTTCTGCAATAACCTCTTCTTCATCTTCCTTTCCATATTGTTCCATATTGTTGTTTCCTTTCAGTTTATACAAAATGCTAATATAAAAAAAAAATTCTTGTATCATTTTGTGAAATCTCTCCCTGTCTCCTGATCTTCAAATCCCTCATTGCCTCCTTGTCTGTACTTGCACTGTCTTGAAGATTGCATTCACAACCTGAAAAACCCTATTTTATTGTTTCAAATAGTAGTCTTGTAGTTAAACCTTGTCTTGGATTTAATAGTTTCTTTTTTTTTAAAAGGATTTTATTTTGTTATATTTTATTTTGTGATACTAAAGAAACTCTTAACCTTTAATCATATATTTTATATATTGACAGATGCAGGGTTTTGTGTATATATGAGACTAAACAAGTCATAGAATCATACAGTCACAGAATCACAGAATGGGTGAGATTGGAAGGGACCTCTGCAGCTCATCTGGTCCAACCCCCTGCTCAAGCAGGGTGACCTAGAGTTGGTTGCCCAGGACTGCATCCAGAGGGTTTTTAAATATCTCCAAAAGAGAGGTTTCTCAACCTCTCTGGTCAACCTGTTCCAGTGTTTAATCACCCTCACAGTAACAAAGTTTTTCTGTATGTTTCCATTTGTGCCCATCGCCTCTGTTCCTGTCACTGGTCATCACTGAAAAGAGCCTGGTTTTGCCTTCTTTGTACCTTCCCTTTAGATATTTATATACATTGATAAGATCCTGCCTGAGCCTTTTCCCTAAACTGAACAGTCACAGCTCTCTCAGCCTTTCCTCATAGGAGAGACACTCCAGTTCCTTCATAATAAAGAGAATAGCATAGATAATCTTACATCTCTTTAGATGCTGGGGAACCTGAGCAGTTTAGCATCAAACAGACCTCCAATCCACATGTAGCACATCATACAGGCACTGTCCATAGCAGAGATTCTCCCATTTTGGTCATTCAAGCTATTATAGGATGTCATTATGAGGAAACAGGTCCATGATTTTTTACTGTTAAAACAGAAACTATGTTCTCATGAGAACCTCTTGCTGCACTATTAGAATAACCAGTACCAAGTGAGAGCTGCCTGAAGTCTCCTTTGTTATTGTCACGTGAAAGATTTTTGCCTGTCAGTGCCCCCAGGAAAGTCAAGACCCTTGTGTCCAACCATTCTGTCAGTGTCTCATAATGAGACCCTTC